ACGACCTACCTGAGTTCATTGATTTTTTTCGGGTAAACCGGCTTCCTCCGCCTCTAAACTAGCCTACGTTGCTGAAAGTGGTTTTAGACAGGAACAAAGGAACCCTGTACATGTGATTTTTTTGGCATAGTAATTAGCTATATTTTTACTTATAACATCAAGAACATTATGTTATATGTTCATACCAATTTAGAAAAAAAGACTCCAAACTTATTAAGTGACAATACAAATGTAATAATGTCTAATTTGTATTATTCAAACCTGAATGAAGAGTTTCAGCAGTAATATAATAATATATGTAAATATATGAATAAGGAGATATGTAATGATTGCCAACGAAACAACTTTCCACCAGGTATAAAATGACTTAAAATAAAAATGTAGAAGTTATGTCGTTCAGTAATATGTGTTTCAAGGTTGATGTCTCATTCAAGTCCATGTGTAACCCTTTTCCACTTTTAAATAGTTAGTCATTATTTGAACAGTTGAATTATGAAAGCACTATGATGAACTCCGTTGGTGTAATAATCCCAAATTCCAAAGTATCATTTTTGTTGCAGTTGCATTAATTCTTCGTTATTAGCGTGACAGACTGAATTCGATTGAATTCTTCTCAGTATAAATTGTTACAGATGGTTCTGCGTTTCGTTGTCTGTGATTTTTGTTTAGAGTTCACTTGAGCAATGATTTAGAATATAAATAAGGTAATGTTTAGAAAAACAAAACATCGTCTATGAAAGGTCAAACACCGATTGTTCAACGGAGGGAAAATTATAAAGATCATTTAGTAAAACGAAAATAGGAAAATGACATTCATATGGATATTCCATTATCTAGTTTCATTGTGTATAACATGAAAGGGGGTGTGTGTTTTTAATTTCTTTGTCATTTGAAGATAGAAATATCGGTTTACGTCATTCGGACATCATCCTAACGACACGTGTAACACAAAAAAAATATCTAGCGATCAACATTTACATGATATAGTCTCCAACACTAGACAATTCTCTTAACAATTTACCAGGCTCCAATTGGCCGAAGTGTGAATTAATTTAATAGAAACTAACACACAGTCGCGTCGTTTCTCTTCTAGTCTATTGATTTTATTGATTATCTATTATGGTAATTTTTAGATTGAAATAAAAAGAAGGTACCTTATATTTCTTCTTTTTCACTGATACTCATATCATATACCCAAATATAAAAAAACAAATATTAATTGTTAGATTATTAAATATTATGACAAGAACAGAAACTGTAAAAACTGCTTCATAAGATCTTTGGTTGTTGACCTAGTCAACTAATAGGACGATTTACAAACAGAATTGTGAAATAAGAAATTATGCAATAACGATGAAAAATTTTGAAAGCAATCTTAAATGAAGGTCAAGAAAGCATATGACTATCAATCCATGTGTCGTTCGAATTTTGATAAGAAACTTATATAAATACCGTGGTTTACATTCAATTAAAAGTATCACAGTAGTCACTATGATTAAACGAGTAATATTCACTATAGCTGTATTTGCAGTTTTAGTTCAGATAGCGTCCTCATGTTGTGGACCTGCGCAGTGGGAGGGATATGAAAGTGTTTCTTCGGGATTACAGTTCAATGGAACTGGCACAGAGGGTATAGTATGTATTTTGTTTTCATTTTCAAATGCAATGATTGCATAAAATGCTGAGAAAAGTATGAAAATAAAACATAAAATAAACAAATGATAAACAAATATTCTACTATAAAAAAGGAGATGTAGTATGATTGCCAATGAGACAACTATCCACCAGATCTACAGTTAAAATGAACTAAATGTATGCAAATATCGGTAACCGTTCGTACGACCTTCAACAATGAAATAACTCATACCATACAGTCGGCTATAAAAAAGCCTCGATTTGAAAAATGTGAACCAATTTAAACGAATAAACTAAAGGCCTAATTTATAACAAATTAATTTACGAAAAACACATATGACAAACAAAACTCAATTCCATTTTTGCTAGCTCGAAAGATAGGCACGAGAAAAAAGTTAAACAAAAACACCAAAATCCAAGTCAAATTTTAAAAAGGAGGGGAGTCCATAAAACAGACGAAATCAAGCGTTATCAACCAACGGAACGAGTGAAAAACAACCGTCATATACCAGACTTTTTACAGGGATTATCCGAAGAAAGTGGTGGTTAAACCTGGTTTTATACCTCCTAATTGTATGACAGTTGTCTATAATTCCATTATATTGACAAAATTGGGTGAGCCACCCAAACAGACACAATAAGTTTATGTGACAATTATTGGGATTGACAAAGCCGCCAAAAAAAAAACGTCTTTGTAGTTGATGGTATATTGACAATAACGCCAACAAAAACGTTTTTTAATCACAATGTTACAATAGTTCCACTGTGTATATTGAACCCGGAACTACTAAAAGACAAGAAAAGACAAGAGAGTACATACCGTATATAGTATACAACTTGAAAAAGTTCAAATAGAGTAAAATATAAACATGATAAATACAGTGTAAACAAAATAGAAACAACACAGTAAAAACATTCTGTGTCTGCATCGCACATAACGACCCAACGACCCAACTGCACCAGAAACGTCAGAGATTAGTAAAGTAAATAAAAAGATGCACAACAACGAGGCACAAAACAACTAACATAAAAACAATAGACACAAAGCACCGACATAAAGAGTATTCGCAGTTACCTATAGCTAGTTCAAATCAAAGTACAACTAATACATAAATCATGTTCTCACAGACTAAAGTGTGAATCAATATACATCCCACTGTAGTCCCATGTATTTTTAATTATCTCAATTTTGTTACTTGTACTGATTGATTTTACTCACTTGCATTTATTTACTTAGTTTTTATCACATGATAATATGTACTACATTTGAATAAATGTATATCAAAGATCATTATAAAGAACTAGCCTTTTTGTTACATCCAGTAAAATTTTCATCATTTCAAAGTAAATATTTTCGCATATCTTCCTTTTCCTTTTAATGGCTTAAAGTAGAAAATTATAATGTGTATACATTCGAAAAAATTTTTAGGGACACCTATTTTCATATTTTCTAATTTAAATAATACAATTTATTGACACAAAGATTTGAAAAAAAATGTATATGTTATTTTAACCCAAATATCAGTTGTATATGTACAGTTTTGAATTTGCGATTAGTTGCTTCTCCGTTTGGGTTTTTGTTTTTTGGTCATGATGTTGCCTGCCCAGTTTCATCATATAAACTGATTACGCCCTGGTATCGTCTTCATTTTCGTTTTATACCAATATCATGTTCTTCTCTTTACGTTAATAGAAATAAACAATATATACTACAAGACTGACATGGCTTGAAAAACATTACATGTGCTACAAGTCAGACAGAAACGGCCTACTCATCAGGAGCTCTGGGTGTTTGTTAAGCTTCGTGTCACTGTGCAAAGAATTTATTGTAAAAAGATTTTACCGTACATCCAGAAACGTGAATAGCATTTGTTAACCTGAAATTCTTTAAACATACAGATAAATATTCTAATGGCTTACTATACTCTTGTTGTTTTTCCATCTTAAAGAAAAAAAACAGATCTCCATCTTTATTCAATATCCAATACATTTCAAACAGGTTAAATAAGATTTTCGTTTAAACAACTATAATGAACTTTGTATTATATGTATTTGTATAACATTAATTAGGTCCTAGTGTTAGTTTATTTGGATTAATAATATGTGTATGGAAACAATAACGAGCCACCTGAAACGTTTTCACTTTGGTTTTTATTGATTTCTTATTCCGTGACAATTGTTTTGCTAAATTACCTAAGTAGACTTAATTGCAATCTTAATGCTAAAATTATTTATAAAACATATTTGTCGTGGGCTTTGTTTGGTTTTTTTTACATTTTGTAAGTATTCGTTGGAAAACATATTGTGAGCATCAACCAGGGAATAAAGTGACTAAGTAAACTATGTCATATTACTACATATTTTGCTTTTAACCTTTTAGGGACTTCTGAATATGTCAGTTGATGCCAATATAAACAAAGTAGCAATCAAAGGATACAGTATGTGGAACGGTCAGCGAGTTCGACAACATAATCTCTACGATTATTCAGCCGTAAGTCTCATTGTATCTTACAAAAGAGTGACGGAAGATACCAAGCGGACATTCAAAAGTCATAAGTCGGAAGATACCAAGCGGACATTCAAAAGTCATAAGTCGAAAAAACATACCTTATCTTAACAGAAATCACGTTAGAAAGACACAAAAAAAAACGGTAAGAAGATCGACACCCATCATGTTGTTCACGGTAAGTACACATTGGTACAAGTTTCTTGAAAATATTGACAAATATCTAAGGATGTTCACTGCTCTGTTTCAAATAACAAGCTTTTAAAAAAACTGTCATAAATTGGTAGTGTATAAGTAACGGACCTAAAAAAGTAAAAAATTGAAAGGTCTGCTCCCTTTTTTTTTTTTAGATATAGCAATTGAAAAAATGGCGGAACTGATTCTTTCTAGATTTTTCTTACATTTAACATGGGCATTTCTTTTCAAAACTATGAAAAAATAACAAGGAGTTATATAAGATTTTTAAAAATGGCTTTTCAAACTATATGTTAAACAATTGTGAAAAAGTAGGGGTCAGCGGGCAAAAATTTTAATGGCACTTCATAGATAAAACCAGAGGATTCCGAATATCTGAAAAAAAGTCAAAAACAAGATCAGTGAACATCCTTGATCTTGTAATTCCTCTTAAATTTATAGAAAACTTAACCCAACTGAAATCAACATTTGCGTGTTTGGTTGTATCGTCACATTTATTGTTGGTTCTTGATGTGAGTTGTTTTTTGGTTTGGTTTTTGTTTTCTTTTTTCTGTCGAAATTGAAATTGCATTCTCAACATGAATTATGATATGTTCTATAAATTGAATGATGTTTAGAATTGAACTTAATGCTGATTTGTTTACATATATGCATTGCAGGGCAAAAGTTATAGTGTTTACAATGGAAATTGTTTGAAAGCAGACTTATCCCCATATCCCAGTCCAGGAAAACTTAACTGTGTACCATGTAAGTTAGTTTAGTTTGACAAATACAAATAGTTCTTTAGCAGCATTTCATGATCAGATCAGCAGATGAGTTAAGTCAATCAATAATCTTAACAGTTCATTTAAAAGATAAAACAAATTGTAGCAAATTAACCATCTGGAATACAAAGGTTAACTTGAGGTTATTGCTTTATAATAATATACAGAAGCAACATAAGTAAATCGTCAAATAACAGGTGTTGAAATGTTAATTTGAATTTTTGTTTCCAAAATTTCAGGTAACGCTTATAGAGTACAACTCGTAAAAGCAGATAAGGAAAATTATTTGCTTTTTTTATTTCAGCTGATGCTAAACTTTTGCTGTCTACCTATTATGGCACTGGTGATAACAAGTACGAGATTGATGTTTATGAATATATGATAGATGGAAAGAAAATGGAAATGAGCGTAAATAAAGGATCATGTGTTCCTGTTGGACAGCATCAACAAATCACCAACGGATTTGCCGATATTGGCTTCATGGGAATCACCGAAGGAATAAAAGACCCATCAGTGTTTGATATCCCGCCAGAGTGCAATAATGCAGGAACAGTTTCTCCGGTAAGCAAAAAGCTTATGCATGTACATGTATTAAAAACACATAAAAAGAGGTATGTTTTCAAATTGATATTAGATTACAATGTTTGATTTACCTGTAGTTAAGTTTAAACATATTTTATTTGCAAACGTAGCAAAAAGAATTGGACACAAGCTATAACAACATTAGTGTCGTCCTCTCCCTGTTTTGAATATATATTAGATAAAGAGAAAACGGAAATGAGTGGCAATAAAGGATCATGTTTTCCTGTCTGTTGGGCATCCTTATAAATTATCTGTAACAAGGAATACGGTAATCAGTAGTAACCATGGGCATAAATCACGAGTTTGAATTTTTAATTTCAATTCGTCATCACAATCAACGTACCAAATCGATATCAGTAGAAACTACATATTACATTCATTTGGCAATGGACATTCAATAATCCTCTAGAATCTGCATACGTGAATATGTATTTGCCTTTTGGAATTTGAACTTAAATCTCATATATGTATGAGAATGTGCGGGTCTAAGAAGACATATAAATTTTGGACTATCTGGTACTACAAAAATAAGAAATGGAATGACATCTATACATGTTTGTTTAAAACTAAATTTTTTCGATAATGTAAAATATGCAGTTTTGTTTCTTCATTTTCATAAATTATTTATTCTGTCATTTCAGAGAATGCATTATGTTAAAAAACCTGGACATGTTTAATGGTGGAAAATTTAAAATAAAGAAAGAAATAACTTCAGTTGGAAAAAACTATATAGATCATAATTGTAAATACAGCTTTGGTATTAAATTTTAAGAAATGCTATTTCTCCTTAGACTCAATCAAATATATACCGAGCTACCGGTCACCAAAAATTAAGAACAAAACAATGTTGTTTGTGTCAATCAGTCATTTAATGATAATAATAACATGATGATTTTGTTGATAAAACAGAGGGATATATACAAAATGTATATATCAAATTCATAACTCGAAGACAAACTGACAACGCCATGACTTAAAACCCAAAATAACAAAAACACAGTTCACAAAGCATACAAAATAGATCTAAAGACTGAGCAACAACCAAAAAAACTCTGGTATTCTCATGTGCTTCGAAAGGGTAAGCAGATATTACTCCACATATGGCAACCGATGGGATTGTGGTTACGATAATTGGAATATATCTGTCGTCAACTATGAAACTGATATGTTGGAATAAAAGGGATATCGAAACTTTTAAAACAATATCAGCGACATTGAACACAATACTGCAAAGCCATCCATTCACAATAAAAGAAGGTCTTGATTGGGTTTACATAATTGCTGAAGGCCGTACGGTGACCTATAGTTGTTAATTTCTGTGTCATTTGGTGTCTTGTGGAGAGGTGTCTCATTTGCAAGCAAACCACATCTTCTTTTTTATATGATATAGAATAATAGAAAAAAAAATAAAGAATACAGATATGAAGGAACATCCATCCATGAGTATTTTTCCCTCATTAACAAGTATTATTTGATTAGCTTTGGTATCCTATTTGGTATTCTTGTTGTAGTTTTTTTTTCAACCTTCAGCTTTGGATTTTCCCAATTATTGCTTGATGAAGAGTATGCCCGTATATATAGACCGGTGTAAATTCCAATTTAAATAAAATACAGAGCATGTGTTGACACTTTGAATACATGCATCTAATAACACAAATTAATTTCTGTTCTAAAAGTTTGGACCCGAAATGTCTTTTAAACAAGTTAAACACAAAGTAGAACGTTGTAGGATTCTTGTTAACAAAGCAAGGGCACATGCTCTGTAAATTTATCAGAATGTGTAAATTCCATACAGTAATGTTATGAAAAGAACAGAATATCAGAAAATTGAACGAAACCATCTTAGTGTTCTTGTGTCTCAAACTACAACGAGGCCTACAACACATACTTATGTATTTCAAGAAAAAAAACAACAATTCTTTATTTTGACACCATATCAATATCTTCTTGTTATAAGCATTGATCGAAGAGATTTAATTTTTACGACATAGTTTGTGCACTGGCTGGGTGGAAATTCTAATGTATGTCTTTCAAAACCCGTGTGTGGAAAATACATTGCTCTTATACACTGATGTGTATCCTCGGTTTGATATGTCTGTTTCAACGCCGAAATTTGAAATTCACTTCAAAACAATATGTGTACAACAAGAAAATGATGATGTCAAGTATTCCAGCTCGCTTAATTTGCAAAATCATCAATCAAATCCTTAAACATGCAAAGATTTTATATAATAGCTAGTTAGACCATCAAAGTATTATAATGACAATATTATAAATAGTTTCATTCTAAGGCAAAGTTCGTAATTAGATTGAAAACCATAACTTATACCTCTTGCCAACCGATGGTTAGCTTGATAGCTATTTATTGTACCTATTGCCAACCGGTCGTTATATTGATAGCTATTACTCTACCTCTTACCAACCGGTGGTCAGATTAATAGCTATATTCACTTTACTACGTGTCAAACCGGTGGTCAGGTTGATATATATTCACTGTATCTCTTGTCAACTGGTGGTCAGAGTGATTGCTTTTCAGTGTATCTCTTGTCAACTCCTGGTCACATTGATAGCTTTTAACTGTACGTCTTGCCAACCGGTGGTTAGATTGTTAGCTTTTCAGTGTATATCTTGCCAACCAGTAGTTAAATTGATAATAAATTTTAGAATAGAAATGGGAAATATGTCAAAGAGACAACAACCCGACCAAAGAGCAGAAAACAGCCGAAGGCCACCAATGGGTCTTCAACACAGAAAGAAAAATCCCGCACCGGATAGCTTTTTGCTGGATCTCTTGTCAACCGGTGGTCAGATTATTAGCTTTTCGCTGTATCGCTTGCCAGCCGGTGTTCAGGTCGATAGCTTTTCGATGTATCTCTTGTCAATCGTTAGTCATATTGATAGCTTTTTACTGTATCTCTTGTTAACCGCTTGTCAGATTGACAGCTTTTCACTGTATATCTTGCCAACCAGTGGTTAAATTGGTAGCTTTTCTCTGTATCTCTTGTCAACTGGTGGTCAGATTGATAGCTTTCGCTGTTTCTCTTGTCAACCGACGGGTAGAATGATAGCTTCTCATTGTACCTCTTGCCAACTGTCGGTCAGATTGATAGCTATTCACTGTACCTCTCACCAACCGCTGGTCAGATAAATAGCTATTAACTGTAAGTCTTGTCAACCTGTGGTCATATTGCTAGCTTTTCACTGTACCTCTCGCCAACCGGTGGCTAGATTGTGTCTCCAGCCAACCGGTGTTTATAACCACAGATAGTTATGCACTGTGCCTCTTGCTAACCTTTAGTCAGATTGTACATCGGTGATTATATGATAGCTAATAACTGTACGTGATTAGATTGATAGCTTTATAATATAACTGTCCCCAGTCAGTGGTTAGATGGACACTTTTCTCTGTATACTGAACTCATCAATTCAAAATTTATTTCAAAGCTTATTTCCTTATTTTGTAATGTCATATGCAAAGACATTGACATTTGAAACGCAGAAATTAATACGTGATATTGATTTATATGTTGAATCAATAGAATATGGAACACAAGTACAAATGAGCTGCATAATTTATTTTAAGTTATATGAATTGTGTCTATTCTTATGCAAAAAAACGGCAACAGTAGTATACCGCTGTTCAATAGTCATAAATCATTTAAGCGAAAACAAATCCGGGCTACTAACTAAAACCGAGGGAAATACATCAACTATCAGAGGAAAACAACGGAACAACAGAAACACTGAACTGCTACAAAAACAAAAGCCAACATACATAGAAACGGACTATTTGATAACAACTGCCATATTCCTGACTTGATACAGGAAATTTCAAGACAAAATGGTGGGTTAAACCTGGTTTTATGGCTAGCCAAACCTCCCGCTTATATGACAACGTTTAAAATACTGCTAAAATGACAACGTGACAGGAATTCAGTACAAAAATAATTCAAGAACACCCAGAACAGAGAAATACGAAAATAAATAATATAATAGTACATTACATGTAAACCACAGAATAACAACCGACACCTCCCATGAATTTACGACAGTTCATCATTACACCACAAACGAAGTACAAACTGCGCGTCACACGAATGTATCAACTCCACAAAAAGTGACGTATTGTTGTGACGTTTGTATTGTCACAGGTAAATTTCTAAAAATAGAATAAGTTTGTTTTATTGTAGACACGTACAAGAATATAAAATTGGGATTGAGTTTGTAATGGTGTTATTATATGTATTTTCTAATCATGACAAGAATATTAAAATGGAATTGTGTTTGTAATGGTGTTATTATTTGTATTTCTTACCATGTCGGTGTTTCGTATAAATCAAAACTGTGTATAAACAAAAAAAAACCTGTGCATATAGTAGCTTTAAACTTAAAACCATTTAAATGAAAAAGCTGATTTATTATCTTAACTTTTACATACATATAGAAAATAAAAATAAAATAACTGTAATATAAGGCAAGATGACGTAAGAACAAACATTAAACACACTTGAAAACAAACATGACATTCATGTAAATCCTAATATTTGCTATAAGGTTAATGAGTCAGTTAAGACTGTTTATACCGTCTCTATACTTAATGGGTGTGTACTGATAACTACTTTAGTCTAGGAGAACATGATTTGTTTAATAGTTGTTATTGGCTTTGAACTAGCTTTCAGTAACTGTGAATACTCTTAAATCGGCACTTTGTGTCTTTTGTCTTTTATGTTCTTTTTGTGAATCGTGCCGATCTAATGAGTCAAGCAATTTTCAACTAACTGCCTTGTCATTCAAAATCAAAAGAAAACAATAATAAATAAAGAATCTTCGGGGATCTTTAAAATTTCTTTTGATGCTGAAATGGAAATTGCTGCAAAATTTTAACAACCAAATATATTTGTAAATTCATCGTACATAAGATATTCCATGCCATAACAATCCAAATTTATGTTATGCATATTACGCAAATGTATGTGTAACCATTCTTTCAAATGTTTCCTTATACAAGTCATAGCAACGGCACAAACTAAAAATGATAGTCCATGGGCATAACGTTGTTGCAGTCATTTCAACAAAAAAGTCATGGAATTAAGTTCGTCTATTTGTTTTATTTGTCTTAAAGTCATAACGTATAAAGTGAAAATTAAGAAAAATATCAATACATAAAACAGTAGTAATTGTAATTGACAATTCAGTCATTTTCCAATTGGATAACAGAAAACTGTACAACACTAAGTACAAATCAAAAACAGTATCTAATAATCTGTAATAACAGCAATCAGTAATATGTACATCATATTTCCAACCGTTCGACAACAAACCGTTCGACAACATACGAACAGTTCAGTCATAAACATCCATATAAGGTGAAACATGATAACCGTATATACAATAATATGTGGTGTTCCTTATGGTAGCACTGCTTTGTGTAGAATACAGATGGTTACAAGTGATGCGGTGTTAACAATCAGTCCAATAATCACCCTTACTATATATATTTTTGTCTTTAAGTAGTCATTTCATCAATGACGTTTAGATGTTAATATGAAAAACAGAACAGAAGAAGTAAAATCTAAATATACTTCAAAGTACATTGATCATTTTTTTTGTAAGTTGTATATTTATTAACTTTAAACAGTTTAAATGTTAACATCCGCTTCTAGTCAAGGACATTGTTAGTATGCTATACGCCGATTTTAATAACTAATAGTAACTATTTATGGTTTATTGATTGTTTTAATGAAAATTAAGTT